CCACCTCAGCCTTCCGAGTGGCTGGAACTACAGGTGCGCGCTACCACACCCAGCTTTTTTGATTTATTGTAGAGATGAGGTCTCACCAAATTGCCCAGGTGGGTATCAAACCCGCGGGCTCAGGCAATCCACTCACCTCAGCCTCCCAAGGTGCGGGATTACAGGCTGAGCCACCAAGCCCGGCTCGAGATTTTAAATTTCTAAATGTCAGAGCCTTTTCCCAGAGAGCACTGTTATTGATTTCAAGTTTAATTATACTGCAGAGAGCATTGCTCTTTATTCTTTTAAATTGGTTGAGACTTATGTCTCAGCCTACAGTCTTTCTTGGTGAATGGCCCATCAACATTTGAAAATAACACATCTGGGTAGTTCTACACAAGTCAGTCAGGTCCAGTTGGGTGGCAGTATGACCTGGGTCTTCTACATTCTATAAGTTATCTGTCTAGTTACTCTACTGATGACTGAGTGATAACCGTGGGCTTATCTCTTTCCTGTTTTAGTTCAATCCATTTTTTGTTTTATGCATTTGGCAGCTCCACTGGGGCATATGCCCACTTAGGACTGCTGTGTCTTCACCATGCCATGGTACTGATTTTTTTTTTGAGTTGGAGTCTCACTCTGTCACCCAGATTAAGAGTGCAGCGGCATGTTCATGGCCACCACAGCCTCGACCTGCTGGGCTCAGGTGATCCTTCCGCCTCAGCCTCCCAAGTACCTACTGGAACTATAGGCACGAGCCACCACGCCCGGCTAATTTTTTTGCTTTATTGTAGAAGGGGCCTCACCAAGTTGCCCAGGCTGGTCTCAAACCCCTAGTCTCAGGCAATCTTCTCACCCTGGCTTTCCAAAGTACTGGGATCACAGGCTTAAGCCACTACACCCGGCAGCAACGGCACTTTAAGCCCTGATAATCACCCTTCTTCTGAAGCCTACTTTGTCTGATAAACAGCCTCTTCAGCTTCATTTGATTAGTACATGGGTGATATATCCATTTCCATCTTCTTATTTCTAAGCCATAGCTTTATATTTAAGAATTATAAGCCGGGCTCGGTGGCTCAGCCTGTAATCCCGCGCCTTTGGGAAGCTGAGGTGAGTGGATGCCCTGAGCCCACGGGTTCGAGACCCGCCTGGGCAGCGAGACCTCATCTCTACAATAAATCAAAAAATCAGCCGGGCATGATAGCGCATGCCTGTAATTCCGGCTACTCGGAAGGCTGAGGCGGAAGGATCACCGGAGCTCAGCAGGTGGAGGTTGCGATGGCCGGGAGCGGCCACTGCACTCCTGTCTGGGAGACAGAGTGAGACTCCAACTCAAAAAAAAAAAAAAGAATTATGTTGTAGGGCAGGCGCAGTGGCTCAAGCCTGTAATCCCAGCACTTTGGGAGGCCAAGGCGAGAGGACTGCCTGAGTCCACAAGTTTAAGACCAGAGGGCAACATGGTGAGACCTTGTCTCTACAATAAATCAAAAACTTAGCCGGGTGTGGTGGCACACACCTGTAGCTCTGGCTACTTGGAAGGCTGGAAGGCTGAGGTGGAAGGATCACCGGAGCCCAGCAGGTCAACACTGGGGTAGCCGTGAGTATGTCACTGCACTCCAGCCTGGGCAACGGAGAGAGACTCCAACTCAAAAAAAAAAAATGATTTTTCATCTTCATGTTGGTTTACATTTCTCTTGACAGCCCGTGGCCTCATATGTGGTCTGTGTGTGGACATTTTGATAATTTTTAACTTTCTGCAATAGATTTGTGTATATTTTATGGTAATATAAGGTAAAAGAAACTAATACTTACATAGATTTTTTTGCATCCGTGACCTTAACTAGACATCATACACTTGACTCTTGCTATTGTTAATACAATTTAACAATCTCTTCCTTTAAGTGGGATATTTACACCCATCAGTGAAATCACTAATATAGTTGCATTTAAAACCATCATCAAATGCTGTTTTCCATCTGTCCTATGTGTTGGTTTCATTTTTCCTGCCTTCTTTAGACTGATAACATTTTATGATTGTACCTATCTCCACTGCTGGCTTATACCTGTATCTCTTTATAAGAATCTTCTAGTGGATGCTCTAGGGTTTACAAAACAGCCTTAATAGTCTTAAAGTTTTTAACTTAATACCGTCTACCTTCAAATAAAATTATAGCATCTCACATGTTAGTTTAATAATCTTAAAATACAGGTGACCCCTGAACAACATGGGTTTGAACTGCACAAATGCACTTATACGTAGTACTTTCCAATAAATATATAGGGAAACTTTCTGGAAAGTTTCAACAATTTCAAAAAAAAATTATAATTAATACTTGAGCTCTGTAGCCTAGAAACATCAAACAAAATTAAGAGTTTTAGGTCACATACAAATCTATTACAGAAAGTTAAAAATTATCAAAATGTCCACACACAGACCATACCATGAGGCCACAGGCTGTCAAGAGAAATGTAAACCAACATGAAATGAAGATGCTGCATGAAGTCACAACTGCATAGAATTTAACTACAGTATACACTGCAGCACTGTAATAACTTCAGTGCCCCCCCCTGCGGCTACTGCAGTGAGCTCAAGTGCTCTGAGTTTTTCCACTTAAAACACCACGTGGCCGGGCTCGGTGGCTCAGCCTGTAATCCTGCGCCTTTGGGAGGCTGAGGTGAGCCCGCGGGTTCGAGACCCACCTGGGCAGCGAGACCTCATCTCTACAATAAATCAAAAAATTAGCTGGGCGTGGTAACACATGCCTGTAATTCCGGCTACTCGGAAAGCTGATGCGGAAGGATTGCCAGAGCCCAGCAGGCGAGTCTGCGGTGGCCGGAAGCGGTCACTGCACTCCAGTCTGGGCGACCGAGTGAGACTCTAACTCAAAAAAAACAAACAAACAAAAAAAACAAACCACACATCACATGATACTCATCGCCAAACAGCTCATCTCTCTAGTAAATTGCATTTTGCACTGAAAAGTGATCTCTTGGGTGCTTGCGTATTTTTCATCATTTTTAGTGCAAACCATAAACCCTGTGTAATACCCAACAAACTGCCATCAGTGATGGTGGAAGAGCTCCCAAGAAGCAGAGGAAAAGTATGACATTACAAGAAAAGGTTGAACTGCTGGATACTGTAGATTGAGGTCTGTAGCTGTGGTTGCATCATTTCAACATAAATTAATCCAGTGTGAGTATCACAGTTTAAAAAAATAAGGAAAAGTGCAAAGCCATCACTGCAGCTAAGCCAGCATGCACAAAAAGTCTTGCATCTTGCATTTTTTGCAAAATATGATTTTGCCTCATATTTAAAATGCAGCTTTTACATGTGGGCAGGATTACTATAAGAAAGGCATACCAGCCGGGTTCGGTGGTTCAGCCTGTAATCCTGCGCCTTGGGAGGCTGAGGTGAGTGAATTGCCTGAGCCCGTGGGTTCGAGACCCGCCTGGGCAACTTGGCAAGACCTCATCTCTACAACAAATAAAAAAAAAAATTGGCCGGGTGTGGTAGCACGCGCCTGTAATTCCAGCTACTTAGAAGGCTGAGGCGGAAGGATCACCGGAGCCCAGCAAGTCGATGCTGCGGTGGCCGGGAGCGGCCACTTCACTCCAGTCTGGGCAATGGAGTGAGACTCCAACTCAATAAAAAAAGAAAGGCATACAACCTGAAGGTTCTAATATGATCTGAGAAAAAAGCAAAGTCATTTTATGAAAGCTTAAAGCAAAAGGAAGGTAAAGGATCTAAGCTGGAGAACTTAATGCCAGCAAAGGATGGCTTGATGATTTTAGAGTAGGTTTGACTTAAAACATCTCAAGACGACAGAAGAAGCAGCTTTTGCCAACCCAGAGGCAGCAGACTTTCCAGACACCATTAAGAAAACTGTTGAAGACAAAGAAAATCTTCCTGACAGGTCTTTAACAGATGAAAATACCCCATTCTGCAAAGAAAAAAAAAAAAGCCACGAAGGACGTTTATTGGTAAGAAGGAGACGCACCGGAATTTAAGGTAGGAAGGAACAGGCTAACCCTCATTTCCATCCACACCCGCAGTCAGGTTTATGATCAAGGCTACCTTCGCCTATAAAGCTGCTAAGCCCTGAGCCTTGAAGGGAAAAGAGAAACACCAGCCGCCAGCTCAATTGTATAGGATGCAGATGATGAAAATTCTTCTGGATTGGCTCCATTGCTGCAGTGTTCTTTTTTTTTTTGAGTTGGAGTCTCACTCCATCGCCCAGACTGGAGTGCAGTGGCCGCTTCCGGCCACCGCAGCCTCGGCCTGCTGGGCTCCAGAGATCCTTCCTCCTCAGCCTTCCGAGTAGCCGGCTGCAGTGTTCTTAAAGTCAGGAAGTACTTTGCAATAACAGACTGTCTTTTAAAAAAAAATTTTTTTTTTAAAGTCTCACTCTGTAGCCCAGGCTGGAGTGCAATGGCACAATTCCATCTACCACAGCCTCAGCCTGCTGGGCTTAGGTGATCCTTCTGCCTCAGTCTTCCAAGTAGCTGGAACTACAGGCGCACATCACACAACACCTGGTGCTAAAATTAGTCTGATATTAGACAATGCCCCCAGTCATCCATAACCCCATGAGTTCAATGTCCAGGATGTCAAAGTGGTCAACTTGCCCCTAACACAATGTTTCTAGATCAGCCTCTCGTGTAAAAACCTGTATGACTCATCACAAAAGGTTTTCTATGGAAATAATTATCAATACTATGGAAGAGGACCTTGATGGTGTATCATGAAAGTCTGGAAGGATCACACCACTGAAGAGGGCATTGTTATAGAGAAAGCCATGAAAGCCATCAACTCTGAAACAAATTTCTGCTGGGGAAAACTGTGAAGGTGTTGTGTATGAATGCATAAGATTTATGACAGAACCCATCAAGGAAATAATGAAACAGATTGTGCATATGGCAAAAAAGGTGGTGCAAGAAGGGTTACAAGACACAGACCTTGGCCGGGCTCAGTGGCTCAGTCTGTAATCCCGCACTTTCGGAGGCTGAGGTGAGTAGTTTGCCTGAGCCCACGGGTTTGAGACCCGCCTGGGCAACTTGGTGAGACCTCATCTCCACAATAAATAAAAAAAAAATTAGCCGGGTGTGGTAGCGCGCACCTGTAGTTCTGGCTACTCAGAAGGCTGAGGCGGAAGGATCGCTGGAGCCCAGCAGGTCGAGGCTGCAGTGGCCAGGAGCGGCCACTGCACTCCGCTCTGGGTGACAGAGTAAGACTCCAACTCAAAAAAAAAAAAAAGACACAGATTGTGGAAAAACTCAAAGACTAACAGACACCACACCAGAGGAATTACCAAAAGATGACTTCATGGAGAGGAGTGCTTCCGAAGGAATGCCAGATGAGGAGGAGGAGGAAGCCATAGAAGCAGCAGTGCCAGAACACATCCCGACACCACACAACTTGGCAGAAGGGTTTCCGTTACTCAGGACTGCTTTTGACTTGTCTGACTACACAGGCCCTAAAACTAAAGCACATGGTGAAAGAAGGCCCCATACTGCATAAAAACACTTAGAAGCATGAAAGGGTGGAAGTCAGAAACCATTATGGATTTCCACAAAGTTCCCCAGAGCGTGCCGTCCCTGTCCTCCTCGGTCTAGTCAGCATGGAGGTGACAGTGAAGACCCACTCCACTTAATAAAAAGGAAATAGATTTTATTTTCTTTATAACTTTCTTAATAGCATTTTCTTCTCTTTAGCTCACTTCACTGTGAGACGACAATACATAATACACGTAACACAAAACACCATTTATGTTATCGGTAAGGCTTCCAGTCAGTAGCGCAGTTTTGGCTGCGCAGGAGTCAGTGCCCTCACCCCAGTGCTGTTCACGGGCCAACTGCATGCTGTTCCCTCCCACCCTCGCCATCACAGTTGTCTAGCATTTCTACATTTTTTTTTGAGTTGGAGTGCAGTGGCATGCTCACTGCCACCGCAGCCTCAGCCTGCTGGGCTCAGGCGATCCTTCTGCCTCAGTCTTCCAAGTAGCTGGAACTGCAGGCACGCACCACCACATCTGGCTAATTTTTTGATTAATGTAGAAATGAGGTCTCACCAAGTCACCTCGGCCTCCTAAAGTGCTGGGATTACAGGCTTGAGCCACTGTGCCTGGCTATACTTCTACATTTTTTGAGGTATCTATCTGGTCTCTGTGCCTACTTCCTTTGAGGAAACTTCAAAGATTCTAGGAACTTCTGGGTTGGGAGGCCCATCTTTGCTGTCTGTGAGCCCCAGTTTGTGCTAAGAGGTGACAAGTCAGGATGAAGGCTGACTGGCAGGAAGGCTGCCAGCAGTTAGAGGACTGGGTCAGAGTCATTCTCATGGGAGCTGCATCTAATCACACCCATGTGATAAAATCCTGATAGTAACTGTCAACACCAAGGCTTGGGGATTTCCTGGCTAGTGAAAATGTCAATTTGTCAGGGAAATGACTCCATCCACAAAAGGCATGGTCGCTCTTATCTGAGACCCCTCATCCCCCTCAGCACGCCCCATGTGTCTCATTTGACTGGTGTGATTTATATACTTTATGATAAAACTGTCATTTTAGGTATAGTGCTCTCCCGAGCTCTGTGAGTTGTTGTAGAAAATTATCAAACTTGAGGAGGCACCACAGGAACCCCTCCCCAAATTTATAGCCAGTTGGTCAGAGTGCAAGTGGAATGCCCCAAACTTACAGCTGACATCGGAAATGAGAGCAGTCTTCCTGGGGAATGGTACCCCTAAACCACACAGCTAGCCATATGAGAGCTACAGTGCAGTGCAGACATCATACTTCTTCTGCCTGAAGAACTTCCTGCATCTCACATGGCAGATCTATTGGCAATGAACTCTGAAGTTTTTGTCTGAAAAAGTCTTTATTCTGGAAAAATATTTCCACTGGGTATAGAGTTCTGGTTTGAAGGAACTGTACTGTTCTTTCAGTCCTTTTAAGATGTTACTCCACTATCTTCTTGCTTTTATAGTTCCGAACAGAAAAGTTTGCTGTGATTCTTTCCCCTTCTATATGAAATGTTTTTTTCCCCTCTGGTTACATTCAAACTTTATCTTTGGTTTGTTCAGCAGTTTGACTATGAAGTACCTAGGTGTTTGGGGTTTTTTGTTTGTATTTATGGTGTTAGAGTCCTCTGAGGTTTACAGACCTCTGGATTTGTCATTTATTACATGAAAAATGATCAATTATGAGCTCTTAATACACTTCCTCTGCCGTATTTTTTCCTAAGGCTCCAATTACATGCACACTAGATCATGTGCTATTGTCCCACAACTACTGGATTCTGTTTTTGTTATAGTTTGTTTTTCTGCGTGTGCTTCATTTTGGACATCTATTGATTTGCCTTCAGTTCAGTGATTCTTTCCTCAGCTGTGATAAGCCAACCTGCTGAAAAGCTCAAATTATTCATCAGTAATTCTTCTTCTTTTTGTTTTTTTTGAGTTGGAGTCTTACTCTGTTGTCCAGGTTGGAATGCAGTGGTATGATTATGGCCACTGCAGCCTCAACCTTAGGTGATCAATCTGCCTCAGCCTTCCAAGTAGCTGGAACTACATGCGTGTAACACCACCACATGACAGGTTATATTTTTTTTGTTTATTGAAAGACGAGGTGAGGTCATGCCATGTTGCCCAGCTTGGTCTCAAATCCCTGGATTCAGGAAATCTTCTCACCTCGTCTCCCAAAGTGCTGGGATTACAGGTGTGAGTTACCGCACCTAGCCTGATTTTTCTTATCTCTAACATTTCTAAAACTTTTTCTACAGTCTCCACCTTCCAAAATTCTCCATCTTTTCATGCATGATACATGTTGTACATCTCTTTCACTAAATCCGTACACATATTAATCATAGTGTAAAGCTCCTGTCTAGTAGCTCCATTGTCTGCGCCATCTGAGTCTAATTCCATTGATTTACCTCTCAACAATAAGAGATCATTTTTTTGTGCAGGTCTTCATTTTTCAGTGAGTGCCAAAGAAGAACAACAAAAACTGAAGAAAACAGTATCTACACCCAGACTTGGGTACGCTTCTAATTTTGCTGTGCCAGTACGTGGGAGGTGGGGGGTAAAAGGGGAGATAAGTCAACCTAGTCTTGAACTGGGTTTGGGTTTTATAATCCTCATTGCATCACTGGTTCAAATTTATCCGGGAATATGCTGCCTTAAACTTCAAGGTACCAGAATACTGTTCTCAAACAATACTGGCCAAAGAGGAACCTTACTATCTGTACCTGCCGGAGGCCAGAACAAACACAGAAAAGTAAACCACGCAACCGCTGCTGCAGGTTCACATTGACATAAAGATGCAAGCCACCTTGCAGGCTGCTCAGTTTGAGGACAAGCCTTCCCTTTATTTTGGTAGTAAGGTAAATGTCTGTAAAGAGGCACTGAAAAAAATAAATCAACATATTGTGGCTAAATATGTTAAAAATGTGCCAAATGTTAGGAGCTGGGCACAGTGGCATGTGCCTGTAGTCCCAGTTACTTGGGAGGTTAAAGTGGGAGGATTGCTTGAGTCCAGGAGGTCGAGGCTGCAGTGAGCCAGGATCGGCCACTGCACTCCAGCCTGGGCTACAGAGACACTACATCTCAAAATCAGAAAACAAAAAAAGTTCACGCCTCCTGTGCCTGACTATGCACACAGGCCTCCCACCCCCACGATGAGGGCTCACCCATCTAGCCCACAGCTACAGGTATCTGCTAACCCACCTCCCGGCAGGCTGGGGAGGTGCCACACCTACCCTGTGCAGTTCAGCCTCCCCAGTGAAGGTCTTCAGAAGACTGTGCGGACACTGACCAGCTAGATTTCCAGTGTCACACCACACAATGACTTTCTTATGCCTGCACCATCTTCCTCTAGCCCTCAAGAAGAACGTACTGGGCAGCTCTTTCCACTAGTGTCTGGAGAGTTCCAGCTACTCGCCAGTGTACCATGGAGCAGGAGGCACATGCAAACACCTGTGATGGTTCCCTCAACAAGTAGTGTCCACTAAACCTAGTAACAAATTATAATAGTAAATGCCTGGTGTCCAGTTATTTTTTAATTACCCTGCATTTTCTTGTATACACTAAAAGCTTTTTTCCCCTCAGCAACAACTTCTCTGTGGTTTCTACATGGGAAACAGTAAAAGTTTCTGTAAGAAAGTTTATTTTTTTTTTATTTGCCAAGAAGGGTGGTAACTAGGCAATGTGGCCCGAAAAGATCTCTCCAACTTTCTCTCAGCTTAGATTTGCCTAGGTAAAGACCTCAAATCCAGCCAGAAAAAAAATGCTGTCATCAACAACAGTAATGATTGGTGAACACTTGACATGTTTTTGAAAGAACCAGAGAAATACTGCCAGGGAAATAGACCAATATGGAAAAGTGAATAAAAACAGCAAAATGCTCTGAGCACTTTAAATTCACTATGGAAATAAGGAGGCAAACCGAAACAAAAACAGCACCTCGTTATAGTCTTGGAAAAGTTCTTCTAGAACTAAGTGTCCAGACTGAAAAGATATACACGGGCTCAGCACAACGAATGAAAAGAGACTGACATCAAGGTATCGCACTTCAGAACAGAGACAAAATGAAGATACTACATATCCAGTGGAAAACACTGGTAGTGCACGAAGGATGGAGAATCAACTGGCACAGAGTTCTCAACGGCAACACTGGAGACAGAAGGAGACAGGCGTGTCTGGCGTAGCTCCAACCAAGAGCTCTGCACACAGTAAAACTACCAAGTCTGACCAGGCACAGTGGCTCATGCCTGTCATCCCAGCACTTTTGGAGACGGAGGTAAGAGGGCTACATAAGCCCAAGAGTGCAAGACAAGCCCAGGCAATTTGGCAAGACCTCATCACAACAATAAATAAATAAAATTAGAGGGCATGATGTGCACGCCTATAGCTTCAGTTACCTAGAGGCTGAGGCAGAAAGACTGCCTGAGCCCAGCAGGTGGAGGCCCAGCAGGGGCCATGAGCATGCCACTACACTTCAGCCTGGGTGACAGAGTGAGATTCCAACTGAAAAAAAATAAGATAAAATAAAACGACCAAGTCTACGGTCAACAAAGATGCGCAAAGTCTA